TGTTCATAGCAGCACTCTCCACAATAGCTAAAACATGGAAAGAGCCTAAGTGTCCATCAACAGATGAATGGATCAAGAAGATGTGGTTTATCTATACCATGGAATACTACATGGCAATGAGAAACAATGAAATCTGGCCATGTGTAGCAACATGGATGGACCTTGAGGGTGTTATGCTGAGCGAAATAAGTCAGGCAGAGAAGGACAAATATCATATGTTTGCACGTATAGGAGGATTAGGAGGAACTTGACGGAGGAACAAGGGGGAGAAGAAGGGCGGAAATGGCGGGGGAAAGGGAGAGAGGCAAACCATGAGAGACTCTTGAATGCTGACAAAAACTGAGGACTGATGGATGTGGGGGGAAGGGGGGAGGGGCATGGAGGAGGGCACTTTGGGGATGAGCACTGAGTGTTATGTGGAAACTAATTTGACAATAAACTATTTGTAAAAAAAAAAAAAAAAAACAGACACGTAGACCAATGGAATAGAATTGAAAACTCAGAGCTAGACCCAAAGGTATACAGCCAACTAATCTTTGACAAAGCAGGAAAGAATATCCAATGGAAAAAAGACAGCCTCTTTACAGATGGTGTTGGGAGAACTGGACAGCAATATGCAGAAGAATGAAACTAGATCATTTCTCACACCATGCACAAAAATAAACTCAAAATGGATAAACGACCTGACCGTGAGACATAAACTATCAAAACCCTATCAGGAAACAACCTCCTTGACCTCCACCGTAGAAACTTCTTACTTGACACATCCCCAAAAGCAAGAGAATCAAGAGCAAAAATAAACGATTGGGACCTCATCAAGATTAAAAGCTTCTGCATGATATGTTCAAAATGCCAGAGGGGAAATATCTGCAACCAAGAATACTCTATACAGCATGGCTATCATTAAGATAGAAGCAGAGATAGAGTCTCCCAGAGAAACAAAAACTAAAGGAATTTGTGACCACTAAACTAGCCCTACAAGAAATATGAAAGGGGACTCTTTGAGGGCAAAGGCGAAACCAAAAGTGACAAAGACAAGAAAAGATCAGAGAAATCACCAGAAACAATGACAAAACAAGTAATAAAGTGGCAACAAATACATACCTACCAATAATTACTTTGTAAATGGACTAAATGCTGAATAAAAATACATAGCGTGTTAGAATGGATAAAAAAAGAAGACCCATCTATACGTTGCCTATTAGAGACTCATTATAGACCTAAAGACACCTGCAGATTGAAAGTGAGGGGATGGAGAGACATTTATCATGCAAGGGATGTCAAAAGAAAGCCAGAGTAGCAATATTTATATTAGACAAACTAGACTTTAAAACAGACTGGAAAAAACAGACAAATAAGGGCACTATACCATAATCAAGGGGACAATACAAAAAGAAGATCTAACAATTACAAA